GGGGGAGATGAAAGCTGTTGGTGTATAGGGTGTGAAAGGGTACTGTCCTGTACAACTTGATGGAATTATACAGCGGTACAGTACCTTCGAGGGGCTTCTGACTCAACATTACTATTTTTAGAAATTTACCTTACTGAAATACCAGATGTGGGTTAAAATTTAAGTACAAATGTTGTCTACAGCAAAAGACCTAACAAACTATTGAGTCATCGGAAAAGTCATGATGCATTTTTTGCATAGAAAATTATAGAAAATTACATCATGACTTCTCCAATGACCCAACAGAAGCAATATATATGCTCAATATTAGCAAAATGGTGAAATAAGTGATGTGTTTATTAATGCACTGGGATACAATTCCTCCATTAAGAATTATGCTTTTGAGGATATTTAACAAGACCGAAGAAAGATCTTGATACAATGACAAGTGAAAAAAGTAGGAAATAAAACTGTAAAGGTGATATGATCTCAACTACAGGAAAAAGAAAAAGACCCAAAGACTTTTAGATTTTTAAAGACTCATTAAAGAGCTAATAGTTCAGGTGGTGAAACTATGGGTTAGGTGAAAGCTATTTCCCTGTATTTCCAAGTCTCCTACAATTAACTTACGTTTCTTTATGTGACCAGAAAAAAGTGCTGCATACATAAAAATTAAAATGTAAAGACTTCCCCCCTTACACTAGTCATTTAGCAACTGAAATTCAGGAGTTGGTTTCCTTACCGGGTTTTCAATAAAGAACAAGCAAAAGGCTACCGAATACTTTGCTTCTTAAATTGACCTATTTTAACCCATAGTTTAAGAGTGGAAATACTTACGAATTCTTAATTTAAAAATGATATGTATTAGTTGTCAAAAAGTAAGAGTCAGGTCAGTCAGTGGCATGGTGATTAAGAAGGCTGGATCCGGGAACCAGCAGTTAACGTAATGGCTATGTCGCTGGACTCCCATCCCACGTAGTCGACCGCGGTTCGTGTCCCGGACCCGGTGGCTTAAAATTCACGCCGGGCGTGTGTGCGTGCGTGCCCAAAATCCCGAGAGGAGAAGGGATTGCGGCGTGACCATCCCCCCTGGGGGGTGATTTCTCGCTTTCTGTCTCTATGTCTCTCTCTGTCTGGCGAGCGCACGCGCCCTACAGTGAAAATCTTTCCAAAAAAAAAAAAAAAAAAAAAGGCTGCCTGATCAGTTTAACATCTCCCTTTTGAATGAAGGCTGGATCCAACATAGCTAACTATGCAGTTCAAGTCCCAGACCTGGTGGCCTGAAAAGCACACTGTGTGTGTGTGTGTGTGTGTGTGTGTGTGTGTGTGTGTGTGTCTCCAAAATCCAGAGGAGAGAATGGAGAAGGGATTGTGGTGTGGCCATCCCACTGCAGTCTCAGATAGACCTGTTTCTAAGCTTAAATAAAACCACTTGAATGTCTGTAATCATTGAACTCTTACCTCCCTTTAAAGACTGACAAGATACTGGTGATGCTGATGGGGATCTGACGTGCTGAAGTGCAGTGGGTTAATGCATCCGTTGGATGGTCAAGCCTTTACAGCAGGAAAGGCACTGAGACAACCCACCCAAATGACCTGATCACACCCAAAAGCCCCACTCTGGGATGCCAGAAAGGATAGTTTCCGCCTAACGCCTTTATAATAAACACAATTAAGTCCCAACACATGAATTGGGGGAGAGGGCATCCAACGATGGCAGACTCCCACCCCGCACTCACCGTCTCCTCCTCATTGTCTGACTGTGCAAACTTCAGCCGGAGACTGTCTTCAAACTCCTCGTCAGTCCAGTAGAAGAGGACTTCCGCACCCTCCGTGGCCACCAGGACGCACTTCATCTACCAGGGAGAAGCAAGGCCAGGGTGCCCCAGCCCCAAGTCTATGCTCAGCCTGAGCAACAAAGATTCCTAACCCCAGGCACCACCACTAGGGCCTTCCTGGTATTGACTCGCCGCACCCTCACAGCTCAATAAAGCCGGCACGTCAGTGACCCCTATTTTACAGAGCAGGGCACGGGCACAGACTGATGTGGCAGGGTTGGGATCTGAACCCCAGCATTGCAATGTCAAGGCTGGGGCCCTCCCCCTTTTTCCTTCGGCCCCTCTCACCATCACATCAGATCCACCATGGGGTCTGCCGGCACCAACATAAGACGAGGACCTGGTTCTTGGTCTAGACAAGGAGCCGACCGCATGGGGCTCTCACCTGCAGCAGACGGTCAGTGCCTGGCCTGCAGTGGAGGGCAGCTGGTGCACCTCTGCCCCTGAGCACCCCAGGGAGGTCTTTCCCTCAGATAGAAGACAGCTGCAGAAGAGGCGCTTCACAGCTTGAGGGGTATTTCAGCGATTCAACAGCTCCCTCTGCCCTCGGTGCAAACAGAGGCTGCCTAAGGGCCCTGTCCAAGGTTCCTTGTCAAACCAACTCAGCTGCCACCATATCCACAAATTTTTTTTTTTTTTTTGCTCTAGGGCACGTGAGCTCACCAGAAAGACAGAGAGAGACAGGCAGAAACAGAGAAATCATCCTCTAGCGGGGATGGCCACACCACAATCCCTTCTCCTCCATTCTCTCAGGGTCCTGGGAACGCATGCACACACAGCCAGTGTGAGTTTAAGCCACCGGGTCTGGGACTCAAACCATGGTCAACTACATGGGAGTCCAGCAACGTAGCCATTATGCCAACTGCTGGTCCCCACAAATGTCTTTAGCCCTTCTGATCTTCCTGCTCCACCACCCTACACCCTCCTGGCCCACCCCTACCCCCTCCTGCCTACTGCTGACACACACCCTCTGTGAAACACATTTTAATGCTTGATCATATAAAATGTGTTTTATTATTCACCAACTGGTAGATTCTCAATGCGGAGCTCCCCACGCTCTACATTGGCCCTTCAGGGTGCAAGACATTGAACCTCTCAGCCCGCTGGGGAGCCTGACCATAGCTGGCAAGGCCAGAGCTCCAGGCTGGCTGGCTGCAGTGAGAGGGCACAGGCGGATGGCCAATGCTCTGGAGCACCCGGGTGCCACGCAGACGGGGTTGTATTGTGTGTGCTGAGCCAGGACGATGAGGAGACTGCCCTGACCTAGCTGTCTACAGGCCACCCCGAGGAGACAGAACAGCACAGAGAACTAACAAGAGTGCAGCCTATCCCCGTGGAACTGCTAAACATGAAGGCAGAGACCGGGCCACGCGGGGGAAGAAGAGACTGGCGGATGGTTCTGGGTGACAGGGTTGAGGGTTTATGGGGTCGCCCAGTCAGAAGCAAGCGTGCAGACTGAGGCATGTTGGGCTACAGAATGGGAGCTGTGGGCGACGGCAGGGGGACCCTGTAGGCTGAGGAGCAGAGGAGTGACAGGCTGGCTAAGATGGGCCAGGTCAAGGTCGTGGACACCGGTGATCTCAGTGTGGGTTACAGAGCCCGCTCCCTAGTGGAAGCTGGCACAATGGAGAGGACAGGTAGTTTCGAGAGGTCTAGTTAGGGACCTAGCAGGTCGAGGTGACCGCCTGGATGCGAGGGTTGAAAGTGGCCAGGCAGAGGGGCATCAGGACGCAGTGCTGGAGGAGAGGTGGGAGGAGTGCTCAGTGCTGTCGCCACCTGCTTCCGGCTGGCCTCCCAGAGCCCCAGGTGGGGCAGGAGCTTCCCCGTCTGCCCGGGTGGGCAGGACCATCTACCTTGGCGAAGAGCACAGGGGAGCTCTGGAGGCAGCTAGAGGTTCACAGGGGGCTGCAGCAGACACCCTCAGTGACCTGCTCACAGAAGAGCAGCACGCGCAGCATCCTCGGGCCTGGGGACACTTCAAACAGAGGGGACATGAGGGAAGCAGAGGCTCAGGTCCCAACCGCTGGCTGTCCTGGGCGGACGCGCTGCAGAAGGACGGAGCGTGCCAAGGTCCCTCTCAGGCCCAGGCAGTCCTTGGTCAGTGAGCTGCGTGCCCAGGCTCCAGCTTTGGCTTTGGCAAGTCACTGCACCCGCTCTGAGCCTCACACTTCCGCTGTGGTGGGAGGAACAGCCTGCTCTACCTCCCCCAGGGTTACAGAGAGCATCTGCAGAGGACCCAGGCTGGCTTCTGCCATCTTACAAACTCCGCTTTATGTACACCTGTGAGCGGTCATTATTCTTATTTCCCAGCTTCCCTTCTTCAACAGGATAAACTAAACCGATTCCCAAATCATTCACATTTTGATAAAAGGCAGGAGCAATAGAAAACTTATTCAGGAAACAAAACGGTGTAAGAGGCAGAGGGCAAGGGCTGTTAGGGCTTAGCAGCTTTTGCAGGTAATCCTGAGGCCGGCTGCCTCCCCTGCGAGGCCGGCCTTAATGCCACTTTCCCTGAGGCCCCGGCACGCTTCTCTGCATGTTAGGCTCTTCCCCCCCCTGCCCCTAGACTGCTGGAAAGAGAACCTTGCCGGGGTCATTTTGTGACGTCCCTGTTCCGTTATCCCGCTCTGAGAGTGAGCCCCAGATGGCTCTGGGCCAAGCTGAGGACGTCCCAGCTGACCTGGCCCCGGCCCCTCCTCCCGAGCCCCCAAGCGCCCCCTTGGTGCTGTCTCCCCGCAGAGCCGTCTAGGGCCCACCCCCGGAAGTCCCCGCCTGGCCCTGCGCCCAGAGGGGCTCGCGCCGCTGGGCTCCGCCTTCAGGGGCAGTTCCCGTTTGCCCCGCTCCCCGCGGCTTATGCAGGAGTTTCACCCCAATACCCGCTGCTCCCCCTCGAACTTCCCGATGACTCTGGGAAGGAGCTTGCCCTGTGGCGTCCGCCCCACTTCGCCGCTGGAGAACCCCTGGCTTGGAGAGGCGCAGAGACCCTCCCCGGCCACCCGCCCGGGCAGGGAGGCTGGGGGCGGGGCGGGCCCCGGAGCCCGGGGCCCCTCGGCCCCTTCAGGACGCAGCCCCGCGGCCCCCGGGGGCAGCCAGGTGCGGCGCTCCGAGCCCCACATACCAGGTCGCTGCCGACACACCGTGGGGTCAGCCCTGAGTGCCCCGATGCTTCCGGGTAGGAGCACGTGACCGCGCCGCGTGACCGCCGGCTCCCAGAGGGGCAGGACTTGCCTTCCAGTTCTGCGGGTTCGAGCTCCGCCCCTGCCTGGCACAGCCCCTGCCCTCCAGGCCGTCTTCTGCTCAGCACCACCGCAGGAGCGCTGCAAATCCTGGGGCCTGTGTCCATGGCTCCCGTCATGAAGGAGGGCATGAGGCCCAGAGGGCTGGGGGACGGTCCACAGCGCTCAGGGGCACCTGCTAAGTGCCCTGCAGTGCTTGGCCCTTCTGCTGGCTTCAGCTCCTGGTTCCCCGCCAAGGCACGGGGACCCTTCCCATTTGGCCCCATTTTACAGAAGGGGAAATGAAGCTCAGAGAGAAGACATAAGTTATTGATCAGAACCCAGGTTTCCTGGCTCCCAGGCTGGGCTCCTCCCCGCCTTTGGCTTTCCTTGCAGAACGGGGTTCTGGCCCAAGAGCTGTGCCTCTGTGCCTGCTTCCCCTGACCTCCTGGGGAGACGTGCGGGTTGCTCCCTGAGGGGCAACGCTGGAATTTATAAGGGTTCCCAGTCCGTTTGGGAGTGGGGAGCACACTAAGGCTTTTGTCTTGAGCCAGTATCTGCAAAACGTATTTAAATTGTATGTGTACTGGGATGGCTGAGGTGGGGGTCCTGAGGTGGATCACGGAAGGGCCCCATCTCACCCACCCCTCTCCTTGGTTACTCCGTGCCACCTGGAAGGTTTGCGCCAGGTCCAGCAGGGGACGGGGTGCAGGACTGGCTGGGAGTGCAGCAGAATGAGCATCCCTTGGGGAACAAGGCAGGGGCCAAAGATCGATGCCCCTGTCCCCTCCAGATCTGGAATAATCAAGGCGAGCATCGCCTCTTCCCACCCCTCCCAGCCCGCCTTGGGGAGCCATCCTCCAACCCCGGCTACAACACACCCCTTGCGGGGCGCTGTCGGCAGCCACTACGATGGTGGGTCCGTCCATCTGCCTGCTCTGCGCACGCTCGCGGCTCTCTGGTGTCAAACGCTTCATAAGCCCGAATTCTGTGGTTGAATAAATTGCAACAAATGGATGTGCTGCTGTTTATTCATCCCCCATTTCCCACCAGTGATGTCAGAAGGTTCCAATTCATCCACATCCTTGCCAATACTTGTTATTGTCCATTTAAAAAATTGTTGTTCGAGGCACCCTAGGGGGTGTGGAGTGGAGCCCCTCGCATTGATTTGCGTTTCCCTAATGTCTAATGCTGTTCTGCATCTTCTCATGTGCTGTTTGCCTCTTGGTATGTCTTCCTTGGAGAAACGTCCATTCAAATCCTTTATCCATTAAAAAAAAATCATTTGTCTTTATGTTATTGGGCTGTAAGAGTTTTTTTCTTTATGTTCTAGACATAACTCCCTTATCAGCTACATGATTTGCAGTTTTTCCCTATTATGTGGGGAAAACTTACCATTTATCGTTTTACTTGCTTCCAGAAAACAAGTTTTCTTTCTTTAAAAAATTGTGGTTTTGTTTTCATTTTCTTAATGGTATCTTGTAGCATTCATTTTAAATTTTGAAATGATTCCATTTAATCTTGCTTTAGTTAATATATAGGTTCTTGTGTCAACGTAAGTTTTTTTTTCACGTTTTTGAAGTTATAAAATACATACCACTTACCACCTTACCCAATTCCCAGTGCACAGTTTGCTGTATTACGTAAACTCACAGTGTGAGACCATCACCATTGTGTACCTTTTCGTCTTGTGAAATGCAAACTCTGGACCTTACACAAAGGCTTGTTTCATCTCTCACCCGGCCCCCAGAAACCCTTTTGCTTTCTGTTTCTGTGACGCTGACCACCCTAAGTCTCTCCTACCAGTGAAATCGTGGTATCTGTCTTTTTATGGCCTGGCTTATTTCACACAGCATAATGTCCTCGAGGTCCCCCCGTGCTGTAGCATGTGTCACACTTTCCCGTGTAATCCTGAATAACACTCTACGGTATGCACATACCACATTTTGCTTACCCATTCATCCACTTCCATTTTTGGCGATAATATGACCGTGAACTCAGGTAGACAAACATCTCTTTGCAATCTTGCTTTCCACCTTTCGATATATATTCAGAAGTGAAATTGCTGGATCACCTGGTAATTCTATTTTTCAATTTAATGTTTATTTATTTAATTTGCTACAGGGCACATGCACTCACCAGAGAGAGACAGAGAGACAGATAGAGAAAGAAAGTGAGAAAGCAAGTCACCAAGTCCGGGACTCGAACCACAGTTGGCCATGGGAGAGTCCAGTGCCTCAATGACCATGACACCTGCCAACCCAGCTAATTCTATTTTTGAAATTTTGAGGAACCTCCCATACTGTTTCCTATCGTGGCTATACCATTTTACATTCTCAGCAGCTGTGCAGATTTGAATTTCTCCACATCCTCACCAACACTTTCTGTTTTATTTTGGCTTTTTTTTTTGGATAGTAACCACCCTAATGGATGTGAGGTGGTCCTTCTAAGTTTTTATTTCACTTGGGTAAATCCCTAGGAGTGAAATGGCTGGACTGTGTAGTAGGTCTATGTCTAAATTTGTATTAGACTACTGAACCCTTTTCCAAAGTCTAAGTATCATTTTAGATTGCCCACCCCCCTCAGTTGCTTAGTAAGCCTTAGTTCTTACGTTGTCCTGTTTAAACTTTGGCCAACAGGTGGCATGGTGGTTAAGGTGCTGGACTCCCACATGGCCATGGCCATGGCCAACTGCAGTTTGAGTCTCAGACCGATGGCTTGAAAATCATGCCAGGTGCATGTGTGTGCATGCTCAAAAATCCTAAGAGGAGAATGGAGGAGAAGGGATTGTGGTGCGGCCATCCCTCCTGGGGGGAAACTTCTCCCTTTCCCTCTCTTTGTATTAGCGTAGGTATTCCATGGTGTCTCACCACGGTTTACATGTCCATATTCCTAATGACTGTGGCTGCCGAACTTCTTTTCATGTGCTCATAAACTGTATCTCTTCTCTAGTAAAATGTTGAAATCTTTTGCCCTTTTAAAAACTGGATTGCTGGGACCAGCAGAAAGCGTAATGGCTATGTCACTGGAATCCCCCATAATCAATTACGGTTCGAGTCTCAGACCTAGTGGCTTAAAACTCACGACGAACGTGTGTGCGTGCGTGCCCAAGATCCCGGGAGGAGAATAGAGGAGAAGGGATTGTGGTGTGGCCATCCCCCCTGGGGGGTGATTTCTCGCTTTCTGTCCGTCTGTGTCTCTCTGGTGAGCACATGCACCCTATAGCAAAAATCTCTAAAAAAAAAAAATCAGATTGCTTTTCTTTTACTTTCTCAGTTTCTTTTATACTTGGGAGACAAGGCCTTTGTCAGATAACTATTTTGCTTTTCTTTCTTTCTTTCTTTCTTTCTTTCTTTCTTTCTTTCTTTCTTTCTTTCTTTCTTCTTTCTTTCTTTCTTTCTTTCTTTCTTTCTTTCTTTTTCTTTTTTTATGAGTTGGGGGCAGTCTGTGGCTTCATCTTTTCACTTTCTTAACTGAGTTTTGAAGAGGAGAAATCTTTTTGCTTTGTGCGTCCTGCCTAAAAGGTCTTAAACTCCTGCTGCCGTTCCCTTTCTCCGCGGTCCTGAACACCAGTTGCTTCGACAGCCCAGTACAGTGGGTGCTTTCTGCTGGATCTTTTTGTTGTGAACTGGGGGAATTCCTTCCGGGGAAGCTAAGTAAATGTGTGTTTTACCCATGATTCCCTCCCCTTAGCACCTTCCCCTGAGGTTCCTCCCTCTTTAGCTGCCCTCCATTTCTTTCAAAGAGTTGTTTTTAAAAATTTTGCCCTTGGTTTATAATTGCTCTTGGCAAAAGGGCCAGTCTGATATAATGCCTTCATTACCAGAAGTTGCACGTTCTTCCTGCACGTTTTCATCAAGTTTTTTTTTTTTTTTAATTTATTCCACAAGCAAGAGAGACAGACAGTATTCCTGATAGGGTCCCGGTGCTGTGATCCGCTCCCAAACCCAGCCAGCCTGGACCGTGGGCATCTGTGTGCCAGCACGTGCAGGGAGGGCTCCAGACTTGAACCAGCAACCTTCCCATGTGGGTCTGCCTCATGGAGCATCTGCCACCTTCTGGCCCCTTCTTCCCACACATTTTGATATCTAATATTTTTAACTTAGCTTAAAATATTTTCTACTTTTTATTATGGTTTCTATCCCCCCCCCACACACACACTTCATGCATTGTTTCAAAGAGTGTTTATTAATTTTTAAACACAGGGGGATTTTCTAGTTAGATATATTTTAAAATTTCCGTGGTATTCCATTGTTGTTAGAAATACACTGTATGTTATCATTCTTTTGAATTCTTTTTGAAACTTTATGTCACAACATACAGTCAAGTTTTGTAAATGTTTTCACGGGGCATTGAAAAAGGACTATGTATTCATTCGTTGCCTGTGACGTCCTGTAATACATCACTTAGGTGACATGCATTCATTGTAGTGTTTAAAGCTTTTCTATTCTTTTTTTACTTTTCACTGCGTTTTCTCTCATTTTCTGAGAAAAGTGTGCTTAAAAAAATCTCTTGTTCTAGGGACCAGCAGTTAGCGTAATGGCTATGTCGCTGAACTCCCACATAGTCGACCGCGGTTCGCGTCCCGGACCCGGTGGCTTAAAACACGCTGGGCACGTGTGTGTGCACGCCCAAGATCCCAAGAGGAGAATGGAGGAGAAGGGATTGTGGCGTGGCCATCCCCCCTGAGGGGTGATTTCTCGCTTTCTGTCTCTCTGTCTGGTGAGCGCATGCGCCCTATAGTGAAAAAAACCCTCTCCAAAAAAAAAAATCTCTTGTTCTAATAGTGAATTTGTCTGTTTCTTCTTTTGTTTATTTTTGTGAGGTTTTGCTTTACTTATAGGATCTGTGATTAGGTCCATGCAAATTTAGTTATATCTTTCACTGTTAAATCACAACTTCCATCTTTATGAAACGTCTCTCAATAATGATGCTTTTTATTTTCCAAAAGCATGTATTGT